CTTGAACCTATATGGGATACGATATGCATAGTAAAGACTAACTTTATTTATTCATATTGGATTCAATTTCAAGGGAAGTCAAAAAAACTTCCTCTTTCAAATAGAAAACCATACCAAGGACGCAGAAGCTGTCTGTTAATTCATGTTAGACATAAATGCATCATTCTAATGCGATAAGCAGTTGTCAAATTTCCTTTGTTAAATTTTAAAATTAATTAAAGTCGTACCACACTTTACGCCGCGTGGTAGTGCAGAATCTTGCCGTCCAAAAAAAGTATATAAACAATTTGGATCATGACATTCACAAGCATTGATTTACCTTCGAGTCTATCGCAAAATCTTTGCTTTAGAAAAATCTTTTTAAATGTCAGAATCATCGAATGATGTCAGAACAGTGACCAGTATTCCGAATATAAAAATCGGAGTGCAAGATGTATACAGATCGGCAACAAGTGTGTTGCCGCTAGCATCGATTCTTTCGAAAAGCACATCAATCGTAACCGATTCAATAGCACCATTCATTCCGTTGATAGCCGATATTTCAATTATAGTTCAGGAGATTGTTAACCTTTATCAAGTGGCCGAACATAACAAACGAATATGTGGTGCATTGCTTTCTCGTGCTACAGCTGCCGAGACCGCCGTCAGAGATTTACAGATACGAAGACTAGAAAATGAATCACTCTTTAGGTCAAAAGAGTATTACAAGAACTTTCAAAAACTTTTGGTGACAATTGGAAATATCAAAAGATTCATCAAAGAGGTTTCGCAAATTAAAGGATTGAGGAGATTTTTGATGGCCAACTCCATTGAACAAGGATTTAAAGACATAACGGAGGAGTTTGATGGATTGATGAGGGTTTTGAACTTTTCGATGGCTGTTCAAAATTCAGTCCAGATGGAAGAAGATCGAAAGGTTTTAGAACATGATGTTGCTGAGATGAACAAGGTATTTTCTTGAGAAATGTCGAAACAAAAAAAAACATTCATTATAATTGATAATATTCGAAAATTGTAAAAACGTCCTAGTATCTCGATGAGATCGAAGGTGGCATAGCGGATCAAGTATCTGGCATAAACGCTAAATTGGATGATATCACACAATGGAATATTGCTTGGCAAAATAAATTGCTTTCAAACAACGAGGAAATACTCACGGCAGCCACCATCCCAATCTCGGAAATTCATGATCCTTCAGATCCTGTAAAGAGAGGTGCCAAGGTTTATAAGAAAATTCGCAAAGGAGAAGAGGTAGCAATCAAAGAAAGAGTTTCCGCGTTGGAAGAAAAGGAACACCTTAACGATATTCTTAGTCAAGTCACCATCCTCAAAAAGCTCAAGGAATCACAATACATCGTCAGATTTTATGGATTTGTCAAAGATAATGATGTCATGTATATGGTGATGGAATGGTGCGAAAATGGAAATCTACAAGAGTTTTATAAGAGATCACTCACCTGGCATCAAAAATCTCAAATTGCTGTCGATATCAGTCGAGGGTTAACCTTTCTACATACCGTTTCCATACTCCACCACGACATCCGTTCCGAGAACATATTAATCACTCAACATCAGCAGGCCAAAATCGCTAATTTCAGTCTAAGTCGTCATGTTACGGATCAAACCAAGAATGTGGGACCAACCATGAATACCATCAGATGGATGGCACCTGAAAAATTAAGAGATCATGTGGACAATCCTTATACTGTTAAATGCGAGATTTATAGGTATTTGTTGATTTCAGTTTTTTAGGAATGAGGTTTTGTTCTTATTATTCTTGGTGCTAACCATCTTACGGAGTAACAGTTTTGGAATGCTTCTATGGGAAATTGCCGAAGAAAAGTTACCCTTTCAAGAATATAATGATATTATTCAAATTTATAATCTGGTCGTTAAACAAAGGATAAGGCCTACATTTAGTCTAGGCGTCCCCTTGGAATGGTCAAGAATTGCACACCAGGGTATGATATATTAGAGCGATAAACCATTTCAACAATATAAGTAATATCCAAATTTGCATCAGCCATGCAGGATAATCCAAATGCGAGGCCACTGCTCAAAGATATATTCATGACCTTAAATGGTATTCATCAAATTTATCAACCAAAGAAATCCCCTTCTCAGTCACCAACTATACCTCCAACGGTCGATGACTTGCCCGATGATGATGATCTGTCCATAGACATGACAGACTTTGAAATTTGTACGATGAGCGTACGAGAGGCAATCGCCGAACACAAGAAAAAAGATGGTGATAAATTAAAAGCATGGAAAGCGTTTAGTCAACATGCAGAATTCGGTGATATGTTGGCGAGGTATCAATTATCACGATTCGTAGCAGCAATTTTGATGACCTACTTTCTAATAAGAAAGTTAATCTGACACACATAGATATTGGAAGGGTTATTATCTATATTATGATTTATGCCCAATAGAAGATCCATCAGACCAGAACTCAAGAAAAGAACGCCTCAGGCAAGCCGTTGAGTTTTTCAAGGAAGCCGCGGGTACCGGATTAGCCGGTAAGATTAATTTGAGTGATCAATGATCGACGTGTTAATAACAGGTTTACATTTTGCTGTAGATGCCCAACTTCGATATGGACATTGTTTGTGGTCAGGAGAGGGTGTAAAGAAAGACATTAAGGAATCTATCAAGTACTTTACATGGGCAGCAGAGAATGGTAACTATACTGCTTTATACAATATAGGCAATATATACTACAACGGGATTGGAGCTCCAAAGGATGAGGAGAAGGGAATTCGGTATCTAAGATTGGCGGCTTTATCGGGACAACCAAAAGCTCTGGCAATGTGCAAAGCCAAGGGGATAACATTGGTATGAAGTTATCGATTCCCTCAATAAATTTTATAACAATTACTGTACGATCTTTGAACATAATTTTTCATGTCAGCGATAGCGCTGAACGTGAGCAGAAAATTTTGTGTAACAATTTCCATAAATGGCATTCGAAAATATGCTTCCTTTTCTATTCCTCTATAGCTCTTTGTTGTTTCAAACAAAACGTCCATAACTAGAGCTATCAAAATTCACGTGCGCACTTTTTTTTTAAACAATCAAACGCTTTTTCCACC